CCGATCGTGGAACCGCGGCCCCGATCCACTCGCAGATTGAGGCCGCTCTCGGCCCGCGTGCCTCCCGCGTCGGGCTTCCGATTCGTTCACGCGGATCCTGCATCGCTGGGCCGCGGTCCACAGGCGGGGCGAGGGAGAGGCGAGGGAGGTGGAGGGGAGAGCTGGCGAGCTGGCAGCAGGTTCGCCAGCGGGCCGCGCGCGCGGCTGCACCGGGCGTGCCCTCCGAGAGGAGGGAGCGGGGCGATCTGCCGGCCCGCCCCACAGCTTTGCGTACAGGCCAGAAGAGGCGTGCACCGCGCGAGTGACCGGTGGGGCGGCGGGCCGCTACTGTTCTCAAGCGCCGTCTGCCGCGGTAGCCACAGACGTTCAGGCGTGTGCAGAGGTGGCTCCACCCAGAGGCATCGGACGAGTGCAGGAGCAAGGGTCGGGGAGGACAAGGAGGCCCAACATCTCAGAGGAAGAGCCCATGGCTGAGACAACTGCTATCGCCAAACGGCCGCGTCGTGATTTCACCTTCAATCACGACGCGGCCGTTTGGCGATAGCCGTTTTGAGATGATGGCCGGGCGTGCTTTCAGTGCACGCGCCCCTGGTTATGTTAGCACGCATCAAACAGAACAACTCAAGGGCACCGGACACTGTACCCCAAGACCTCTGGCGGATTGTTTTGAGCACGTGGGCCCCAGCAAAGCTGTCGACCCCGTCGCCGAGAGGCTGAAACTGGAGAAGCAGCCGCCCAGATCGAACAATAAACATCAGTCTTAGGAGGCGGCTGGGGGGTCTGCGCTGGATGAGCACAAGCAACAGTAGTCAAGGCAAAGGGGGAAGGGCCATCATCGGCCCAGAGGGGACAGGGAACGAAACTTGTGTACAAGGGTGCCTCCACCCCAGCTCGATTGGCTGGCACCAATGATGCCCCACCTCAGGCCAGCCCCAAGACCGACCCGCAATGGGGCCTGAGACCCAGAACAAGAAGCCCACCGGTCGTGACATGCTGTGATGTTCATGTCGGCGGCGAGCGGCTTCTCAAAAGCCCTCCGGCCTTCTGAGTTTTCTGTATCTTCGGGGATGGCTGAGAAACCTTCTCAGAAGGCCGGGGGGCTTCCGGGCCTTCAGAGAAGGCCCCCCCCTGCTCGCCGCCGAGAATGGGACGCGGACGCAGGACTGGAGCGGACGAGAGGTCAGGTGAGGGTGGGCTCAGGGAGCCAGCTTCACGCAGCCAATTGTCCCGCCGCCTCCAGGCGCTGGGAGCGACTGTGCCTTCATCGAGAGCCGAGTGCCCGGCGCGGGGGAAAACAGGCTGCACGCGGCACAGTCCGTAAGCACAGACATCCGCCGATGTGATGTTGTTCCATCCACGGCCCCAGACTTCCCGGCCCCTGCCCCAGGGGGTACCTGCTCGCCCAAGGGGGGACCTTTTGGGCTGGCAGGGGGCCGAAACACGGGCCCCATGAGGCCGAGCTGGAGCAGCAACGCCCGGGCGAAGCAAAACGCGTCCTCGGAGCCCTGGGCTTCGCGCGTGCCCCCGCCTGCCGCCCCATCCCCGCACGGAGCCGCCCGAGAGCGGCGGGAAAGCGCCCGCAGGCGGGCCACGGGCCCCCCCGGGTGAGGCTGTGCGGAGCGTAGGGGGGCGACCTCCGCAGCCGCAGGCACCGCAGCGGGCACCGCGGCGCGCCGTGCTCCGGGCCCTGCCAGGCCCCCAGACTGGGGAACGAAGAGAGGCCTCCTGGATGGGGTCCTCCTCCTCCTCCTCCTCCGCCTCCTCCTGCTCCTCCTCCTCCTCCTCCTCCTCCTCCTCCTCCTCAGTCCTCAGTCCTCAGTCCTCCTCCTCCTCCTCCTCGTCGTCCTCCTCCTCCTCCTCCTCTTCCTCCTCGTCCTCCTCCTCCTCTTCCTGCTCCTCCTCCTCAATCCTCAGTCCTCAGTCCTCCTCCTCCTCATCCTCGTCGTCCCTCTTTTCCTCCTCGTCGTCGTCCTCCTCCTCTTCCTCCTCCTTCCTCCTGTCCCCCTCTGCCTCCCGGCGCAAATGGGGTCGGCGGACCGCGCCGCATCGCCGATGCATCGGCGACGTCGGCGGCGTCCACGCGAAGCCAATCGGGCTCCACATCAAGCCGCGTCGCCGATGCATCGCCGATGCAGCGCGCTCCTCCGCCCCCAGCTACTCCGACCCCATCTGGGAGGCCAAGACTGAACGTGGGGTGCAAAAGCGCGCGCCATCCGTTCACCCTTCGGGACCGCGGTGGCAGGTTAGAAGCCGTTCGGGTCCCCTTCGGGGCCACTTCCCTGCAGAGCCCGACACCCCAACACGTGTTGCCTCCCCGTTGCCCCTAGACCGTCCGCCCCCGGGCCGCGCGGCGCCCGCCGGTCGATCTCCTCTCGGTCCCTCCCTTTGCGCCGCCGCGGCGCGAGTCGAGCGGGGCGCCGCTTCCCCGCGCGCCGGCGCCGCTTGGCGCGCGCGCCAGGGGAAGAGGGGGGAGGGGAGAGGAGGAACGGGGGGGAAGGGGGAGGGGAGGGGGATGGGGGGGAGGGGGGGATGGGCAAACCGGGTGCGCTCGCGAAGCATGTGACATCCGATCCGTCCCTTGTTCAGACTGCCCCACGGCGACGAATTCTCTCTATCCGCGGACGCGTGTCCCAGCCGACCTGCGAGGAGTGGGGGATGGGGGAGGCAAGTGGCCCCAGCACCGGATCGGTTGGAGGAGGAAGAGGAGGAGGAGGAGGAGGAGGAGGAGGAGGAGGGAGGAGGAGGCGGAGGAGGAGGAAGAGGATGGGGAAGAGGGAGGAGGAGAAAAAGGGGGTGTGAGGGGGTGGGGGGACAGGAGGGGGCATGGATTGGTCTGCTTCCGAAAAGGCAGGTCCGAAGGGAGAATGGGTGAAACGAGCTACGCGGCGAGCCTGGCGCGCCGCACGCACGCCCGGCACTGCGCATTCCCTGGGGAGGGGAGGGGCGGGAATGGGTGAAGAAGGGGAGGTGGCCACGGCTTCCCGCCGGAGCCCGACATGCCCAGGGACACGTTCGTGGCCGTCTTCGCGGGCGCCGACAACGACGAGGACTGCGTCCCTCTGACCGAGGAGCAGAAGCAGGAGAGGGCTCTGAGAGCCATAAGGGAGGAGGTGGCGCTGCACGTCGACAAAGCGGAGTACGACGCCCAGGCGCGGTTATTGAAGCAACGCAACCATGGGGCCACGATCCTCGTGCGGGGTGTGTCGAAATGGCCCGAGGCCGCCATGCGAACCCTGTCACTGGGCCTTCGGTGCAGCTCCCTATGGGGCCACGATCCTCGTGAGGGGTGTGCCGAAGTGGCCCGAGGCCGCCATGCGAGCTTTGCTACTGGGCCTTCGTTGGAGTTCCTATGGGGCCACGATCCTGGTGAGGGGTGTGGCGAAACGGCCCCAGGCCACCATGCGAACCCTGCCACTGGGCCTTCGGTGCAGCTCCCTATGGGGCCACGATCCTCGTGAGGGGTGTGCCGAAGTGGCCCGAGGCCGCCATGCGAACCCTGCCACTGGTGTATTCGGTAGAGTTCCCTATGGGGCCACGATCCTCGTGCGGGGTGTGCCGACATGGCCCGAGGCCGCCATACGAACCCTGCCACTGTCGCCTTCGGTGGAGCTCTCTATAGGGCCACGATCCTCGTGAGGGGTTTGCCGAACCGCCCCGAGGCCGCCATGCGAACCCTGCCACTGGCGCGTTCGGTGGAGCTCTCTATGGGGCCATCATCCTGGTGAGGGGTGTGCCGAACTGGCCCGAGGCCGCCATGCGAACCCTGCCACTGGCGCCTTTGGTGGAGCTCCCTATGGGGCCACGAAGCGCTGTGCTCGGTGTGCCGAAACAGAGACATGCGGAGGGCACAGGAGGGGGAGGAGGAGGAAGGAGGGGAGAGGAACGCCGGGCGCTGTCTCTTCAAAGCGAGGACCCAACACCACAAGATGGTTGGGAAAAATGGGGGGAGAGAGTCAGAGTGAGGGGGAGAGAGAGAGAGAGAGAGAGAAAGAGAGAGAGAGAGAGAGAGAAAGAAAAAGACCCTGCGAGTGCCTCGACTTTTTTTTCGCGCTGGCCAGATCAGGAGAGGGGCGAGGAGGAGGAAGACCAGCGCGGCGGCGCCCGGCGGAGGCAGCAGCGCCGCGCGGCGGGGCCGCCTCTTCACAGGGGGCGGGACCGCCGCCGCCGGCGTCGCAGAAGCCGCCGCCGAAGACCGCCGTCGTCGTCGACGTCGTCGCCGCCGAAGACGGCGTCGCCGCCTTCGTGGTCGGGGTCTTCTGTTGTCGTCCGCCGTCGTCTTGAACGTCGTCGGCGTCGGCATCGTCCGTCGACGCTGTTGTCTCCGTCGCCGCCGTCCGCATCATCGCCGTCGGCGTCGTCATCGCTCGCGGGGCTGACCCAACTGATCACCCAAGATCTGGGGAGCACTATTCAATCGACCTCTGCACTGGCTGCGGGCAGCCAGGGGCCCGAAACAGACATCACCCCAGAGGAATGGGGGGCAGGAGTAGGGGAAACATACCGTAGGGAAGAGGAAGACACATATACAAAGAGAAGGAGGCTTGGGGAAAAAGAAAAGGGAGAAGGGAGGAGAGACAATAAGGCAGGATGAACATTAAATCCGATGATGGTAATGCATCGCGAAACTCTGAAGTCCAACGTACCTGGAGGATGTATCGGGCGCCATGGCCGTTCCAAAGCGCTCCGGCACGCCCTGAGAGCGTTACGGCAAGCTCTGGAGCGATGTTATCCTCAATCTAGGCTCGCCTGAAGGAGCGAGGAGGGGCGATGGGCAAGTAAAGCATCCCGGAGAGCGAAGCCCATGTGCGTGGGTCTACTTTGGACGACCGGAATGGGTACGGGACAAATGGTACGATGCGCAACAGCACTTCTTGCCCAAAGCCGACAGCGGCCGCTGTTGGGCAGGCGAGCTTATGTCTCAAATGCACAACGGCCGCGGCGACGCCGACAGCGAATCCTGTTCAGAATGAACACGACATGGTGATGGACTTTGCACCCATTGTTTCAACACTCATTTCGGTCCCCTCTGAGTCTACAACTCCGATGCGAGAAAGCGCCAACGCCGCGGAGCAGTGACTGCACCGCGCGCGCGCGAGGGCACTCTCGCGGACGCGGAAGCCGTCGCCGCCAGCCTGCGACAGCGAGGTAGTGCTGCGCAGCTTTTCCTCCTGCACCTCCTTCACGTCCTGCTCGTCCCACCTTCTTGCCCTCCTCCCCCTCCGCCTCCACCTTCTGCTCCTCCTCCTCCTCCTCCTCGAACGTACCCGAAGCTGTTCCTGGTCATATCATCATCGACACGCCTCCTTGTTATCGTCATCAATCGTCCTCTTGATCCTCGTCATCCTCGTCCTAATTCGCCTCGCCTTCATCACCCTCCTCCTTTTCAACGTCGTCGTGCTCCTCCTCCTCCTCTTCCTCATCATCTTGAGCCTTTTCCTATCGATCTCCTCATCCGTCTCCTCCTGCGTCACCAAGCCTTCTGTAGAATCATCGCAATCAGTGTCCTCGTGACTCCTCCTCCTCCTCCTCCTTCTCCTCCACCTCCACCTCTAAGTCGTCGTCTTCGTCGTCCTCCTCCTTCTCCTCTTCCCATCCTCCCTCCCTCCACTTACACCCATGGCCCAGGGCTTCCGCACAGGCCAACGGGGAAAGGAAGATGAGACAGATGATCAAGAAAACTGATGCCATATGCTGACTAGATTGCCCTTGGAGGAGAGGGGTGTAGAAGATGAATTGAAGTCAAGCGTCTTGAAATACTTTTCACCTCGGCGCAACTCGGAAAGGTCAATACTCGTCGGGCTGGCTCCCGCTGGGCCGAACACCTTCCGGCTTGATGGCTCACCCCCTCCTCATAGGGCAGCCAACAGCATGCTCCTGGGAGGAGGGGGAGAGGGGGGAGGAGGGGGAGAAGGGGACGACGGCGAAGAGGAGAAAGGCGGACGAATAGGAGGTCCTCGATGTAGCGGAAGGTTGCGTTGATGCGCGGGCCACCGGTCACGCCACCTTTTGCGATCTGGTGTAGGTAGTGCTTCTGGAAGAGCCCCTCCATCGTCGACAACACCCCGTGCCCCAGGGTGAAGGACTGCGTGCTGCCTTCCACGGGCGGGCGCAGGCATCTGCATCGGATCCACTGCTCCCAGGCAGGTGGCGACCAGCTGGTCGCACGACCGGCCATGCCCATCCTGCACCACCACCACCAGTAGCAGGACGTAGGGGAGGGGGAGGAGGAGGAGGAGGAGGACGACGAGGAGGAGGAGGGGGAAGAGAAGGAGGAGGAGGAGGGCGAGGAGAGGAGGAGGGGAGGAGGAGGAGGGGAGGAGGAGGAGGAGGAGGAGGAGGAGGAGGAGGAGGAGGAGGAGGAGGAGGGGGATTTTTTTTGGGGGGCCACCATGGGCCGAACCAGTACAGCGGCATCTAAACCGACGCCGCTGGGACTGGGGACGGCCCAGGCCCGACACTGAACCACGCCCGAGTGGGCATGGTCTCGCGTCGAGCCTGGGCGCGTCCCCTTAGTCACTATCGTCCGAAAATGGGCCCGATGACGAGAGGAGGGGATCCTCCACCTCCTGCTCCTTCCTCGGGCCCGCGGCGGCGGCGGCGGGTCCACAGCTGGTCCTGCTGCGCCCGCTCGCCGCCGACTCGCGAGGACCTGGGCGCGGCGCGCCTGCGGGCCTGCACGCATCCCCCCCCCCGCCGTCGCCACCGTCCCCGCCCCCAACTCTAGCCTGGACTCGTGCACTGACGGCCGCAAGAGACGGGAGCGGACGAGCAGCCGCTGGGATGGAGAGCGGTCGGTTGGCGGCAATATACTCCGCCACCACGGTAGGATCCGCCGCCTCGACCGCCGCACAGGACACCGCCAACGGCTTCTTGGGGTGAAGCCCACGCCTCAGCCTCCTGAGTGCCGTGGTGCCTGCACTACTACGCTGCTCGTCCGAATGTGGCTTCACACAACGCTTAGCCAACATATGAATTCGATGCTGCGCGAAATATCCACACAGCATACAAAACAACAGAGGGCTCTCCTGGTCCGCAACCTGGGTACTAGCCAGCTGGTGGCCGTGGTTCGGGGAAGAGGTCAAGAGCTCCTGCACCAGACGCGGGAACCCCGAACATCCAACCTCGGGCCTGGAGTCCTCACAACCACTATAAAAACAGAGACAATTGCTGCACCTGTGGCCCCATAGCCAGGGCTCCCAAGCATGCCAGCCGTCCACTGCTTTAAAAAGTTTGACACGCTTTTCTTGCTTCGGAGGCCTCTGATGCTGGACCCTCGGAAAAAGCGGCAAAATCTCCGCCGCAAGTCGTGCCACCGTTTCGAGATCTCTGATCGAGCTACTTACTGCATCCCACTCGGCCTGAGCTGGCTGAGGGTGTAACAAAATTGCTTGCTTGGCTTCTCTGTCCGCCCGCCAATTAGCTTGACCGATCCATCTCTCGGGGGCAGGGAGTGCTTCGATCTCACTGAGATCACGGTGTGCTGGAGTATACACTGCTGGCGCATATCTGTTAGCCTGCATATGCTGTAACGCTCCACGCCGTAAGCCCGAGTACTTATGCTTAGGATTAAGCTGCGTCTGTGGGGAACTGTTGTGCAACCGAACCGCATTCATACAGTCACTGTAACATGCAGCACCATACTGGGGTACGAATATGGGGAGGAGGCTGAGCGCAAGTTGTTCTGCCGCCTGACTCGTCTGCGGTAGAGATGGCCACACTGTGCCCTTCGCTGTCGCCACCTGCTGCCCCTCGGCCCCAAGGAATACCCAAGCATACGAGGCCCTGGAGAGCTCCTTTATCATGTGTGGGACGCACGAGCCATCACCCGACACACTCAGGCCCTCTGGGTTGAAGGCGATCCAGTCCATGGGGGGCGCCCTCAGCGTCGAACAGGAGCGGCTCATGCTCGTCGCTCGGCTGGGGCCACGAGGAAGACGGGTGCCGAAACTTGAGTCCTGAAAAGAACTCCTGCGCACCTTCCTGTGCCTGCTGGAAGAAAAAATCAGTGGCCTGTACGGCCTCACGGGCGTTCTTAATCTCCGCCGACCCCTCGCAATTGTACAAACGGTGGTGGATGGAGTCGGGTCGGTTGCAAACAGGGCACAAGCCACGCGACAGGTACCCCGCACGGACCACGCGGTCTTCACACCAGATCCCGTCGCAAAACATGGCTCTCACCATATACTTGCCCTGGGCACTCAACCCCAAGCCCTTGCCGTGAGCCTTGGTAATCCTACGTATGGGTTCAACGCAAACTCGCTCCCCTTCGCCCCGCCCAAGGCTGCTCCCCAGGACCCTCTCGCGATGCCTTTGGACACCTTCTTTAAGCAATAAGCATGGCAGGGGAGTTGTAGAAGAGCGACAGTTCATTCCCTCGGTCATCGGTCCATACAAAGGGTCCATTGCCCTTCCAACCGATCCTGTCCAGGGACAGCCACGCTCTAGATATGGGGCCTTTAGTTTTTCCCCACGCGAGTCCTTCCTTGGGCACCGCCAACCACATGCGCCGAAGGTCGGGCAGCGTGAAGTGCGCGAGGCCAGGCTTAGTGGTCGTGTGCCAAACGGCGCTGGCCCAAGCTAAGGCAGGGGCAACCATACTACGCCAGACTGGGTCGCCGTGCAGCACCGTCTTGGCTTTGACCGAAACTCCCGCATGAGCGGGCGACTGGAAGGAAAGCATTATCGAACGAATCTTTTTAAGCTCGGCATCCGTGGCTCCCGTGACCGTGTCCCCGAAAGAAACGGCAGGCCGAACCCCCGCCGTGTAGATTTTTCCAATCCGACCTCTGTCCCTTGGGAGGCTCTTTCTGAGACGCTTGAGCTTACGATGCCTTCTAATCATGTCGGCAATCCTGGTCCTACGCTTAACACACACCTTGTTTCTTCCACGCTCAACCCCAGGCGCCAGGTCAACCCCCAAAGACACAACATGGGCACCCACCGTTCCAGCCAGCGTTCCAATCCTGCGTCCAAGCCGTAGCGACAGAGACGGGGTGGAGGCGAAGGTGAAAAGCTTGTCGGTCGCCAGGCCAACTCCTAAATCACTTTTGAAAACCTCATGGAGGTCCTCCGCGGCTTTTCCCAAAACCTCAACAACATGGTCTGGGCTGCCGTACGCACTGACCGTATCATCATCAATGTACGAGGCCAACGCCACGTCACGGTTGCGCTCCAGAAACCTGTCGAAAGGGGCCATCGCATAGACCTTGACACATATGTCATTGAGACAGGACCCCGCTGGCAGCCCAGACGTCGCAAAGAGCGGCACCAGGCTATGATCCGTGCCAAGCCGCAGGATACTCGGCCCTCGCCAAAAATTGAAGGTGACCTTCACCAAGACAGCTGGCAGCCCCGCAGCCAAGGATCGGTCACGAAGGGTGGTGAGCCTGAACGACTCATAGTATTTGGAGCCGCCCCACGAGAAACCCCCCGTGACTCCACCATCCCCTTCCTCAGCTTCAGCTCTCACCGCCTGGTTCCAGATACTGCCTTCCGCCGACCTGCCCAAACCGAAGGCCCAATACTTCCTGGGATGATTTTCCTGGAATCCCGAGACAGTGGAACGCCGAGCTTTCTCCCAAAGCCTAACAGGGGCGGCACAAAGCAACACGGGCCTGAGACCCCCTTTCGGTTTTTCAAGCAGGGGAAAAAAGCATCCAGTACACCGCTTTCGGGAAGGCTCCGATCTTCTCAACAACTTGAAACATGCAGCAGAGGGCTTCCAGGCCTTCGTCGCAAAGCATACCGTAGTGCCTGACATGGACCCCGTCCAAGCTCTGCGCCGTCTGCGGGCTGAAGGTTCTACACGTCGCACGGATATCATCGGGCCTCAGTCGCACAAAACATTCGCGGTCCCGAACTTCGAGGGGCTCGGGGCACGGCGTGCCCCCCCAGAAGGAACCTAACACGTTGGCCTCATTCGCGAGCAGCTTTCGCGGGTCCGACGAGTAAACCCCTGGAGCCGTTTCGATGACCGTGGGGGCCCACTTGGGTTTCAACCGCGACAGCTTGTGCATCTTCTTGGCCGAGCCAGAAAGCGCCTCTCTCTGCCATTGGTCCCAGCTCACCTTAGCACGGTTGTCCAGACCCGTACGGGCCTCTTCGAACTCATCACTCCAATCGTCGAGCGCACTCGTTAGCTTGGTGAGCCAACTGGCGATCTGGGTCCAATCCTGAGGGCGAGACTCTACTAACTGCCTGGCAGCACCGACGGTGGCGTCCAGCCTCACCGACAGGCCCTCGCCGTCGAAGGGCTGGCGGAGGCTGGCGCACAGGTTACAAAGCGCCTGAACGTCCTGATGGTCACCACCGTCTCGGTTCTCGTGAACCCTCATAGCCGTGCACTGAAGATCTCGAAGCGTCTGCTGGAGCCAAATCCACCCTTCCAAAACCATCTCTTCGTCCTCGGGCCTTCGTCTCGGCTTGGCGAAAACAGAAACCCACTTAGCCGAAGGCGGCAGCCCCTTGAGGCCTTTGTTTTTGATCGGGGTGTCAAGCTTGCCTTCGAGCTCCAGCTCCATAGCATCAGAAAAACTTTTCCACGCTAAGTTCAGCAGATCCCACGCCACACTCACAGACTCATGACTGGCAGCTCGGTTAGCTTCCTCAGCGAGGGCCCGCGGGGCCGCCCAGGACGGAGGCTGAGGAGAGGGGCCCACAGGGAACTCCCGAGGAAGCCTCTGGTGAGTCTGGTACACTAACTGTTTGATCCCGCTGACACCTGCCTTGAAGTGCAACTGGACAGGCTTGTGTGGTCGGTGAGGCCATGTGGTGACGGTGATGGTCTTGTCAACCAACTTCGCCACCGCCGGCGAGACCGCGAAATAATCAATGAACGAATTAGCCGCTGGTGTCGAGCATGTTTCGACTGGAGGCTTCAAAATGATCATGTTGGCTTTCCTCGGCATCCCCGACAGTTCCAGGATCGATTCGTGAAAGTTCCAATCTCCACCCATGATAGCCAGGTGATGGCCCTCTAAACACTCCCCCGCCCGTTTCAAGATGTCCAAATTGCGTTTGCTGAGACCTTCCGAATGATACAGGTACGCACACGCAGCGACAAGGGCTTTGGGCCACTGGGGGATATCCAGAGGAGGAGGGGGAGGAGGAGGGGGAGGGGGAGGAGGAGGAGGAGGACGAGGCCTCGGGTGAAGGGTTCCACGCGGGTCCACGCCCTGGGACCAAGAGCAGCACTGTCATCATCGGCGCACAACAGGGGCATCGTCAGGGCCCCACCCCGATCCATAGCGGGCGCAGCGGGCGACCACTTGCGAACCCTTTTGACAGAGCTGTGGCTCATAATGTGAAGGATGTATGCAGCCAGGTGAACGCCAGCGTGTAAGTCCGATACCCAAGTGTCGATAGCACCTGCAGTGGGAGGGGTTGCTAACGGTCGCAGGCGCAATCAAATCGATCGCCCTCCGAGGCCGAGGGTGTCTGGCCTCCTCCACCTCCTCCTCCTCCTCCTCCTCCTCCCCACCTCGTGCACATCCTCCTCCTCTTCCTCCTCCTCCTCCTTCTCCTCCTCCTCGTTCTCCCACGTCTCCTCCTCCACCTTTTTCTCCCTCAACTTTGGCTCCATGACCTGTCCCAGAGCGCGTTCTGGCAGAACACTCGAAGTGCACCCGGGTGAAACTTACGTTCCCCGATCGGAACGGCTTCTGTCGCTCGAAATCGCGTTCCTACCAGAACGGTGGCAACATTCTGGATCTCTCAGCTTCTGCATCTAAATCATGTGCTGCCGATGCCGTCCCCATCCGTTCTCCGCTTCCGCCTTTCACGGCTGATGATTCTCACCCCGCTCGTCGACACAGCCACCCCGCTTCGATGGTGCTCCGGACGATGCCTCGAGTCCTGCGCCTGCGATTTGGGGGTCAAGGTCGTCTAGGGCACCCAGCTCGGCGGGCAGAGGGGGGCCCAACACAACGAGAAAAGATGGCTCTCCACGAACCCGTTCCCTCATCCTCGTGCCTCCCCCGTTTCCTGCGGCCGCCTCCTCGTCCTCCTCCCCCTTCTGCCTTCCTCCTCCTCGCTCACCTTCCTTCTCAAACCTCTTCGCTCATTCGTCTCCCCCCTCCACCCCTGTCCATTACCCTCCCTACTCCATGCTCCTCCTCCGCAACTGCCTCATTGTTTTCTCTCTCTCTCTCTCACTCACTCTCGCCCTCTCTCTGGATCTATTTACCTCGCTCTCTCTCTCCCTCTCTCTCTTTCTCAATATCTGTATTTCTTTCGTTGTCTACATCTCTCTCTCTCTCTCGCTCTCACCCGTACGCCTTCCCTCACCATCCTACACCCGCTTAGACTGTCCTTTCGCATCCTCTCTCCTCTCCTCTCTTGCGCCCCTCCGTCTCCTCGTTCTCCTCCTACCCGTTTGCCTTCTCTTTACAGATGGAGAGCGGCTCCTTTTCGAGACAGGGCTCTTCTTGCCTTTGCGCCGTGCGCACTCTTTCCCAACGCGACGATGAGCAGGAGGGAGGATGGCACGTTTTCAAAATGGAGCGGTCGCTGGAGATGTCCTCGGCATTCCTGACCACAAAGGCCGACTTGCCGAAACGATGCACGGATGGGGAGGCAGTCCTTTCACGTAAGCAGGGACTTGCGACAAACGTATGCAAGGCACTTCCGTTTCAAAGTGGTGACCTGGCAATCATGGCAGGAACAACCGTGCTGGTCGCTCACTTCTTGTACTGAAGCAGAGAGCTTGTAGGGGCGTGCTGGGATGGGACTTGGGACAGGAGCATGGATTGCAGCATCGCTTACACATAGTTACTGTACTCTGGTCCTCCTCCCCTCCTGCTCATCCTCCCTCATGTCTCTCTCAGACCTCTTTTCCTACTGCATTCTCCCATCGCTATCCTTCCCCCACTCCTGCTCGACACTGGGGCTTGACAAACCCGCGAAACCCTTGATCAGGGGTGGATCACGCGATGGAACTCTGCCCAACAAATCATGGACGACAAGGGGAGGAGGAGGTGGAGAGGAGGTGGGGAGGAGGGGGAGGAGGGGGAGGTGGGGAGGAGAAGAGGAAAAAGGAGGTGGAGGATGAGGAAGAGGTAAATGATGAGGTGTAGGGAGAAGGCTAGGTCGCAGACTATGATGTCGCAGGCTCATGCTGTCTTGGGGAATGTTTCAAGGTGTCTCTTAGGGCCGAACCTAATGGTCTCTGGGAGACCTGAAGAGAGGAGGAGGAGGACGAGGAGGAGGAGGAGGAGGAGGAGGAGGAGAAGGAGGAGGGGGAGGAGGCGAGCGAGGCGAGCGCGCGATGTCGGTCCAGCGGGACCGGCCCTATGAGGGCAGCGCGGGGGGGCCGGGGCCCCTCAGAAGACGAGTCTGAGCTGGAGTCGGAGAGATGGACGCTGGAGTCGGAAAATTGGGAGCTGGGGTCGGAGAGACGGGCGCTGGAGTCGGAGAGATGGGCGCTGGAGTCGGAAGGAGGGGAGGGAAGGAACGTAAGGAAGGAAGGAACGTAAGGGGGAGGGAGGGAAGGAGCGTAAGGGGGAGGGAGAGGGAGGGCGATGCGGAGGAGGAGGAGGAGGAGGAGGAGGAGGAGGAGGACAAGAAGCGAGGGGCAAATGTGCAGGGAGCGGGGATGAATCATGATGAGGAGAAGTATGATGAGGAGGTTTGGGATGCAGGGGGCTTTGGCAGGCCAAGTCGTGGCATGGTCAACATCCCCTCCCTGGGGCCACTCGGCGCGCGACAGTTGACCGCCGGAGGCTCAAGATCCCCTGCACCTAGTCCCATCTTCCTGCATTAGTCCTCTTCCTCCTCTTCTCCTCCTCCTCCTCCCCTCCTCCTCCTCCTCCTCCTCCTCCTCCTCCTCCTCCTCCTCCTCCTCCTCCTCCTCCTCCTCCTCCTCCAACTCCTCCTCCTCCTCCTCCTCCTCCTCCCGCAAGCGACGACAACGTCGACGTCGACATCGCCGGCGACCCAACCCGCGCCGCGTTTTCACCCGCGCCTTTCTCTGGCTTCAGGATGCCGCCGCGGCGGGGGGACCTCGGAGCGGGAGGCGGGGGGGGGAGGGGGCGCACCACCGAGGAGGAGTCCGTCAAGACCAACTCCGCTCGATGCACCTGGGGGCCAGGCCCCTCTTTGGGCCTTCGGGGGGCGGTCGCCGCTGTAAGCGGCAGCTACAGTGGCCTACACCCCCCCTCGCCGAGCAGGGGAACCCGTGGCCTACTCCCTCGCCATGCGGGGGGGGGGGGGGGGGGGGGGGGGGCAGCGGGAGGAGAGGGGCGAGGACGACGCCGCGAGGCGCGGAGCGGGAGTCGGGAGGGGGAGGGGGAGGGACGGCTTGGGCACATGACAGGGGGCCTCGGGGGGCTTTCTGGAGGGCCGGGGAGGAGGAGGCGGTGGCGGGCGATGGAATGGGCGTTCAAGCCTTTCTCAGTGGGAAGAGGCGGCGGGAGAAGAGGGGAGGGACAGGAGATCAGGAGACGAGGGGGAGGGCGGGGGGAGAGCTCCCTCCGCCTGACTCCCTCCCTCCCTGGTGCTGCTGATCATGCTCCTGCTCGCTGTCGTCATCCCATCCATCCCCAGGGCTCCCCAGACTTTCGGCGGCGCTCCCAGCGCACTGGTCCACCTGAAACCAGGATTGTGCCTGCTGCTGCCGCCTGCAATACTTGATTCGCATCGTCCACTCGTCTGCCTCGTCCACCCTGCCTTTTTCACCGTTCCTCTCACCGGTGACGACGCATCGCGCGCGTCCTGTGCTGCACATCTGCATCCCCCTGTCTCTCCAGGCCTGCATCTTCATCCCTCTGACTGTCCCTACCTGCGCCTCCGCCGATCCGACCCTCTCCGAGCTGCAGAGGCGCCGCCAGGCCTGAGGCGGGAGGAACGATCCTCGACCAGAGGCCAGTCGAGATATCCGCGGCCCTCCCGAGCGGACGAGGAGCGAGAAGGGAGGACGGGGTTGGTTCGTGTGCCTCGTCTAAGACTAAGAGGCATACGAACCAACCTGCCTCGAAATTGACCGCCCCCGCTTCCACCTTTTACGCCGCAGCGCGGCAGGGGCGATACAGAAGCGAAAGCGGGGCAGGGAGTCCACCTTCTGATCATCGGGGCGCGCCCTGCGGCGAGCACGCCAGCTGGGACGACCGATGCTGCTGCGTGAGCCGCCGTGCCGGCGCCGGCTGGCGAGCGCCCGTGTGCGACCAGGTGAGACACCAGCGGGGCTCAGAACCCGAAGGATGCCTGCAGCCAAGCGAGCCCCCAGGGGGCTGTCCGATGCCCCAGCGCCGGTGGAGCCCCCAAGGGGTCCTGGACGTCCGGCGGCGTGACGTGTGCAACCCGCCACCTCAGAGGCCACTGGGACCCAGGGCTGCTTTTCCGTCCTGGTTCTGTGTGTGACGGCCCCCTCCCCCCCTCCTGCCCTCCGCGGCCGCTCCTCCCAGCTCTTCCCACTTCTGACCGAGCTTGCCGAGCGCCCCCCAGCACTTCGAGCGCCCGCGCGGACTGCCTCTGCCGTGCCGCGGCGGAGAATGCTGCTGCTGGCCCTGGCGCCCGAAAACCGCCCTGGCCGGGGCCCGGAAGCGGCCCCGGGGGCCGAGATCAGTGAACAAGCGCCTGGAGTGAAAGAAGGCAATCCGCGGGACGTCTGCTGCGGGATCTGGGAGCGGCCCCGCCCGCCAAGCGGAGGCTGGAGGCCAGAGGCCGAGGCCCTCGGCCACACTCTGAGCCCAGCTGGGCGGCGAAGGGTGCAGCGGGACGCCGAAGGGTGGCTGCCCCAGGCGCGGAGCGGAGCGCGGAGCGCGGGTGGCCCCGCGCTCTCGCGGCGCTCCCCCGGGGAGGCGGGGGAGAGGAGCACCGAGGAGGAGGAGCGCACGCGTGGAGAGGGAGCGCCAGGCACCCGAGGCCGCCAGACCCTTGGGCGGCCTGGCCTTGGCCTCAGCGCCGTCGTGGCTCGAGGCGGGCGAGAGCACGGCAAGAACGCCTCGAACCCTCGCCAGGAGGAGGAGGAGGAGGAGGAGGAGGAGGAGGAGGAGGAGGTCCTCCTCCTCGGAGGAGGACATTGTTCGAGCCTCCTCCTCCTCCTCCTCCTCCTCCTCCTCCTCCTCCTCGCGCGAACAACTTCGCGCCACAGGGCTCGCCGGCACAGACCGCGATCCGCCAGAGCGCTGTGGGCATCTCCGCGCGCCCTCCTGGCGGCCCCTCACTGGGCGGAGGGAGGTCGCCCGTTGCTGAGGCTGCGGCCTGAGGCCTATCTGGAACTTCCGCGGGGCGCCCAGGGACACGGAGATGATGCGGGTGTCCTGCTGCTTCCCGCGGAAACCGCCGGGCCCCGGCCCCCTCTTGTGGGCCGGGGCCGCTGGGCGTGGCGGCAGACCTCGAGGATGTCAGGGAAGGGCGAGGCTTGAGGGTCGAGGTTTGTGGGCGAGCCCTGAGGTTAGAGGATCGAGGATCGAGAACATCGCGGCTGGAGGCTCGAGGTTCGAGGAGGTCGGGGATTCCGAAGGGGTCGAGGTTCGTCGGCAGCCTTCCCACCAAAGCAGCACGCTGCTGCCCACATGATGCATTCGATGTCAGAGAGAACAGCGGCGAGCAAACCCCAGACTCACGCACCCGAGACGGAGGGGTGGTGGGGAGGAGAGGTACTTTTGGAGCAGATGTCTGTGCTCCTCTCGAGTTTGTACACAGCTCGTCGAGGCATCGCAGAACCTGGTGCTATGGCAACTCCCTCCCTTCACCGTGACATACGCGCGCTCTTCGCAACTGTGCCCCCCTGGCTTCTTTCGTTGGGGGCCTTTGCTCAACCAGCTTTAGACGCTTGAGGCTCTCAGGTCTCGGGAAGCCTGCAGAGGCCCCTTGGATACTCAGGGGACCTCCAAGGGACTCGCGGGGACCTCCAGCGCCCAGACCAGCACAGCGTGCTTCGCTCCATGGCGGCGCTCCTCTCCTCAAGCTTCGCCTCCTGAGCTCCGCTCTTGGGCCACGCGGGCAGTCGGGAAATCCTCCGGGACGAGACAGCGGCCTCGGGGCGGCAGGGGCTCGAGACCTCTGCGGAGGGATCCGCGGACTTCGTGTAGAGCATCGAAGGCCTGGGCCCAGCCTCACCCTTCGGGCTCGCGCTGACGAAGATTGGGGAGCCGTGCGTCTGGCGCATGGGCGCCAGATCCACGGACCAGGGACAGCCACCCCCGGGAACATGAGGCCGGCGCCGCCCGCGTTGGCGACGGAGCGCCCCGACTCTGCACTCAAACGGGACCCGCCGCTCGCACGGACTCGGTTCGCTGGAGTCTCGGTTCGGCGGGGCTCCCTTCGCCGGGGCTCGGTTCGCCCCACTCGGCTCGCTCATCTCGGTTCTCGACTCGGTTCGCCGGAGCTCGCTCTGCCCGGGCTCGGTTCGCCGGGCCTCGGTTCGCCGGGCCTCGTTTCGCCAGGGGCTCGTTTCGCCAGGGCTCGTTTCGTCGGCGGGGCTCGGTTCGCCAGCCACGCGGAGGATCCAGAGGAGGACGGGGAGCAGGCGGGCGGGCCCTAACGAGCGGGTCGGGTCGGGCGGGCGGACCCCAACGGGCGGGGAAGGTCGGGCGGGCGGGACATGCACGCAAGACACATGATCGAACAGCACGCGCGAGCCCTAACAGGCGGGTCGGGTCGTGCGGGCGGGACACGAAAGGGCGGCTCGGGCCAGGCGGGCGGACCCTGACGAGCGGATCGGGTAGGCCCTACCCGGTAGGGCGGGCGGGACATTCAAGTATGACGCATTATCGAACAGCACGCGCGAGCCAAAACGGGCGGGTCGGGTCGGGCGGGCGCACCCTAACGGGCGGGTCGGCGGGCCCTAACGGGCGGGTCGGGTCGGGCAGGCAAAGCTGGACAAATCGAGACTCGGGCAAACTGAGCCTGAGCGAATCAAGCCGGGCGAATCGAGCCTGGCGATTCGAGCCCTGGGCAAATCGAGCCGCGCGATTCGAGCCCCGGGCACATCGAGCCGGACGAATCGAGCCAGACGAATCGAGACTCGGGCGATTCGAGCATCAGCCCCGCCGCTAACCCACGCGCATTAATCCATGGTTGCGTTTCCTCGAATCGTGCCTACCATTCATCCTCGTAACGCTGACGCTTCTGGCATTTGATGCAGCCGTCCTGCCCCGAGGGACTGCTGCCCCTCGGGGAGGGGATACATTAGAGATGATTTGAATTAAAGGTTAGCGCTAACAGAACCACGTGGGCGGGAAGGGCGTCCTCTGCACGATTGAGGGGGAGTGGACTTTGCTTAACGACGGGCGCTGCTGCCACGCGTGCTGCTGTTGTTCCCGTGATCATAACTACTGCTGGTCAGCATGCCAGTATGGTTTACCTGCTTGGTAGTTGCTGCTCCTCCTTTCCCTGCTTGATCGCAGCAACCTTCTGGGCGGAGGTGGCTTGGATCGCTTCCCCTTCCAACCTCCATTATCCCCCTTCGGGGAGGGGCATTGATTTGCTCCTGATGTGTACAACCCCCCTCCCCAAACCGACCAGAGACGAACCAGGGACAATGCTAACACCCTGCGGCAAAATCTTGGACCCAGTGCCTCGGCCTCCTTTCACCAGTTTCCTCCTTCTCCTCCTCCTCCTCCTTGTCCTGCTCCTCCACTTCATCCTCTTCCAGCCCCTCTATCCCTCCTCGTTAAACATAACTCCTCACTATCGCGCGCCCAGACGTGTCGGCAGGGCGGGCCAAACGTTTCGCCTGGTACTTCCTCACCATATGCGGCCCTGAATCTTGAAATGTGCACCAGCTTCCTGGATGGAGGGAGGCTGGCTTTCAGAGTGCGGTTCTCGCCGTCACGCCGCGCGCATTCGCCCCAAAAGTTTGCCGAGGGACGCCCGTGGTGGCCCCTCCTGGCGCTTTGGGGGCAAGAGGCTGCGAGTTGAGAGAGAGAGAGAGGGGGGCAGGCACAGACGGAGAACGAGAGACGAAGCCGCACCAGAGACTTCCCAGCAAGAGGTCCTTAGTAAGGGTTCCATAGTGAGGACTCTGTAGTGCGTACGTCTTGACGAAGGCGTTCTCTATTCCGAAACCCTTGGTAGGGATTCCTGTGCTAAGGGTTCCTGAGCAAAGGCCCCTGAACAGAAAGGACGTCGTACTGTGAACCCTAAATTGAGGACTCCTCAACCAAGATTCATTGTCGACGATTCCTCAATCCGGATTTTTTCAGTACAGGCTCATGAATCGAGAATTTCTCCGCGAACATCCCTTAGTAGGAGCTCCTTGGTCCGGATTCCTCAGTAAGGTCCCCCCGTAAATATTCAGCAGGAAGGATTCCGTAGGGAGGAGTCCTTCACTAAGCTGTAGAAAGGCAAATCCTCTGAACAAGCAGTTCTGACGCGTGAGGTCTTCGCGGGCATTACATGTGGATCGTCCTCCAACTGGGAGTTGAAAAAAACAACGCGAGGACCAACACACGACAAAAGCTCCAACGCCCCAGGATCTAACAAAGAAAAACAACAACAAAAAACACAACCGGACCATTACTGATACAGACCGTTCATGTGAGGGCGGCCGGGGTGACTAAGTCGTTCATGTTTTTGTACTTGGTGATGGTTGTGGTGGTTTCCCGTGTGCTGTTTAGCTGTCATAGCTGGCGGCTACTTCGTTTCGTTGTGGTTCTTGTGTGTGTTGTTCCCTGTGATTTCTTGTTTGTTCAATTGCAAGCCCCCCCGCCTGGGGGGATGGGGGAAAGGGCGATGAGGATGAGGAGGCGGAGGACGACGACATTGAGGACGAGGAGGATCCTTTACTAAGGCACGCGTACTAAGGGTCCCTTAGCAACGGAAAGCGCGCAATAAGAAACCAGTTCTAAGAACTCACTTCTGGAGAATCGAGGCTACCCAACCCCCACCGGAGGACCCATTACTCATGATGTCATTAGGGAGAAAATCTTGCGGGGCAGCCCCTGCTCTTTTGCATGGCTGTGGTGCCTGAGTCTACACGCTTACCGCGACCTCACCCCCTCCTCTCCAGGCGTGGGAGGCTGGTCCGCCTCGTCCTCGTCGTCGTCATCCTGCGCCCCCTTTTCCGCATGCTCATGGTCCTTTCCCTTACTCCCCTCCCCCCCCAGGCAGGGGGAATGGGCGAAACCAAAGGACGACAGCTCGGAAAGCTATGAAACTTAAGGAACGACACCAACAACTTAGTTTCACCCGCCGCCCCCACCGAGAATCGGCGGTGAGGTTTGTGTGTGTTATTGTTGTGGTTGGTCATGTCCCATTGCACACAGGGTGGCGCTTCAGTCCTGGGTCTCTGTGGAATCTTCGGGGGTTTGTTTGTCCTGCGCCTTCGTGCTTCAACGCCCAGCTGGGGGAAAAGGAACACCAGGATATCATACAGAGGAAGGTAGGGAAGGATGAGGAGGGAGGGAACGGGGGATTGAGTATGCCGAAGGGAATGCTGAGGAAACGGGGGAAGAGGAAGAAGATACGCAGCCTGAGGAGGACCAGTCACGCAAAGCGCATAACAGCCACCAAGCGACGGCCACGGGCCCCCTCGACCCCAGGGCGGCGCTCACGGAGGCAGCGGAGCGGGCGGGCGGACCGAGAGAACCCAGGAGCGAAACAGAGTTGGAACGAGGACTGCGTTTCAAACCTTTGGGGGGAACGGGGGAGGAGGACGAGGAGGAGAGGTACTTGCTTTGAACTGGCCCACGACGCCCCCCCGCTCCTCCTACAGAGGTCCCAGCCAAAGTTCGTAACAGCTCCAAGGAAGGAGGGCGGCTCCGTTTCAGAATGTGGCACCCGCCTTCGGACCGCGCACATTTGTCTGAAACCTTTGGAGCAGTTCCCAGGGTGCGTGCAGTAGTTCAAGTCCCAGGGGCGGTGTGTTGGACCGATATACGTCTGCCAGGAAGCAACAGTGATAGTAATTCGCGGCGTTGAGGCCCCAGGCAAGGTGTTGTGGAAGGGCCGAGGGTTGTTCATTCGCTGCGCCGAAGTCCCAAGAATGGTACTTTGGCAGGGGATTCTCGTCCAAAGGGGCATTTTCTGCGATGACACTGCCTTATTGGAGGGGTTCACCACGAAGAAACTTGGAGAGAAGGTTGACTGCAGCATCCTCCCACAAATGTGTCCCATGTCGTCCTCTTCCTCATTATGCCACTCCCTCTTCTCTCTCGACCTCGCCCTCGTCCTCGATGAATGAAACGGAAAAGGGCAAACAGGGCGGGTGCGGCTGAAACTGTTGTGCAGGGCTCGTTGTCCAGGCCTGACCCTTGTTTGGCTCAAGCCAGAACATCCGAGCCCTATCCATCTCCCCTTCCTCCTCCTCCTGCCTCATCATGTCGAGTGCCTCCACCCTCCTCCCTCCTCCCTGCTGTTTAGCCGCCTCCACGTACTGCGCCATGCCTCCTCATCCTCATCATCGTCTTGCTCATCCGCCATCCCATCTCAACTTCCCGCACTCAGCCTCCTTCTTGTCCTCCTTCCTATCTACTCCTCCCCCTCTCCTCGTCCGTTCTGCCTCAATCGCCATACCTCTTGCCCGTCCTGCCTCATTTCCCCCTTGTCCTCATTGTCCTCTGTTTTCCTCTTCTTCCCTTCTCCTTCATCTGCCTCCTCTCTCAGACTCCGCTCCAAGTTATCCTCTTCCTCCTTCTCCCCCTCGTTTCTCCGACTCTTCCTCCCCTCCCCAACGAAACACATCCTGCTGCTCCCTACGCCCTCGACCCTCCATCACTCATCTTCCCTCTGTGTGCTGCATATATGTGCATGCATGTGTATGTGTATAATGTGTGTTTGTGTGTGTATGTACATACACACATATATACAGACACGCGTCCGACAGAACAAACACATCGATCCTGGATCCTGGACTCCCATCCTCCTCATCATGAATCCTCCTCCTCATCCAGGTGATACCTAATTCTCATCCTCCCCTTTCGCGCTCCCACCCCCCACCCGCTTCCGCGCATGCTGCTGCTACACCCCCTGCGATGCGCTCGATCTCTTACACAAGCAGAATCGAGGATCGAAGACTAAGATGTCGAGGTTGTCGATCGTTCTTCGATCCCTTTCCTGGCCTCCGGATGCTTTTTGGAGGACCTTCGGGATCCTCAGAAGCCTCCGATGACTCCCTGACCCATCCAGAGGACTCCAGGAACAAGCCCGGTGATCAGGCGGAGGACACTACAGCGGATTGGATATTGGCTCGTCGTCGGAGTGCCATGCCACGATGTGCGACCCATTCTCATACAAGTTAAGGTTCACGCTATCTGGGAATCGGGAGTCCCTATCTGTGTCGTCGTTGAGGTTCAAGCAAGACAACCACCGCTTCGACATGTCTTTGAACCAATCAGGGAAGGGTTCTGCTTCCACTCGGTGCGTGCCGTAATTGTAAGGGCATTTGCAACCTTCTTTCACCCACCACATCGTTTTTCGCGTCACTGCACCGCCAGGACTGCCCGCCACGTTGATCCACTTAACGCCCGACAGGAGCGTCTGCAAATCTGAAACATGAATGTCTTGTTTTTTATCTGCTAGATACATCCATGATCTGTCAGCCGTCTTTGTGCAGCGCAAGCACTGAAGCAAAGGGGCGCAGTGAACGGCAGACGTCTGATACAGTCGGGCCGCTGAAATAATGAACTCTATTTAAACAACGAAGTCGCATATTGGCCCTGAAAGCGCCTCCGTGCCCCAGGAGGGCAAGAGGAACAGCAATGGAGCAACCTAAGGAATATCGAGTCCCTTCCGAACCCAACTGGGTTCTTATTTCGGCGTCTTGACTGCAATCACGTCGAGCATCCGACGCAAGGGCCTGCAGCTCGACACCATGTAAACAAGAGGCACGCGAAAGAAACGGGAGGCGGCGATTGAGAAAGTTCATCTCTTACGCACCTGCTTGACAAATCTTGACTGCAGCGGGAAAGACCACCACACCCCACACCAACTGCCCAGCGCCCACACGCCGAGGGAACGGCAGGCGCGCTGGGCAGAGAAAGACCCGGCACGCAGGGCCAGAAGGCCCTCCGATGTGAGGGTGGCTTCGATGACGCACTCTCAGCTGCTCGTGATGGCACGGCGGGCTCCTGCCGTGTCGACACGGGCGCGGAGATGACGCCGCAGGAGGCCGATCAACCTCGAACCCATCTGGCTCTCCGATGGCTCAGATCGCTCGATGCCGGCCACTTCCCCGCCACCCGCGGGGTTCAACCCTGAACGCCCGCGCTGGGGCCGCCGCCGCGTCAGCACGGCGCGACCCTGCCGTGCTCTCTGAGCTGGGGCTCCTTGGCCGACAAAGGTACTCCAGATTTCGTAATAAAGGGAGGGGGGTCTCATTTCGGGGGGGGTCTCTTCCAGGCTATCTTGGAGGGCCTGGGGGGGTCTGGGGACGATGTTTTGGAGGGTTCTCCCACGGGGGTGTCTAAAACTTCTCGTCTGGGAGGGTTGAGACCCCCTCCCTTTTATTACAAAATCTGCAGTAGCTTCGCAGGCGCACTTCATTGTCAAAGCTGCGCGCCTTGGGACCTGAAACGGGCGGGGCGCTCGTTCCAGAGGGGCGCCGGCCGGCGAGCCTGGTGCCCGTCCGCACTCCCTCGTGCCTCCTTTCCTTGCCCTCCTCCGCTCCTCCCTGTTCCTCCTCTGCTCCCATCACGCCTCTCTTCCCCCCCTTGTCTCCTTCTCCTGCCGTCCCGTCCACTTCCACGCATTCCGACCTCACCGTCAACCTCCCCTCCTCCCCCGCCTTTCCCTCCGGCGGTGAGCAGGCGTGCAGATCGTGCACTGCCAGCGCTCGTCGTTTCCGCCAGGCCCCGTGGAGCAAACAGAGAGCCCAGACTTCCCATGTCTCTCATCCCGAGCGCCGCGCATTCGAACACGGAACCCATGTTACCCGCCGGCCCTGGGTGGTCTTCGGCGGGCCTCCGGCGGTCTTCGGCGGTCTCAGGAGGGCTTCGTCGGTCTTCCGGCGGTCTTCAGCGGGCGTTACCTGGCGGTCTTCGGAGCGAAACGCCGGGTGGTCATGCTTCACAAAAGGGTTCATGATCGAACGCGTAAACAGCGAGCTCGGTGCACGTCTGCGCCTCCTCGTTCTCCTCCAGGGTCGGTTTGTCACCTTCCAGATCTGGACCTCTCGCTGCCTCCCTTGCGCGCTGCTCGGCGCGCGAGTACCACAGCCTCTCCTTGCCTACATGTACCTATGGTGAGGGCTTTGGGTCAGGAACCCTGTGAAAAGGAGCCCAGGGTTTGCAAGCAGGTGGGACACCAATCGTGGCTGGATAATTAACACTGCCGCCCTCATCAGATAAGGGCACCCCCTGGATCTTAAGCTCCTGGGCATACGGAAGGTGCCCGGCCACAAGAAACCTTCCACAAGGAACCCGACCTGAGACCCAGGGACGTCCATTGATCTTCGATGTGGGGACGTCACGCTTTCCATCGCAGAGCCATCGAAACCCACGAAACCCGGGGCACCCTGGAGGCAAGCGGGGTGTTTCTTGGCATGGGCCTCCCCTGGCAGCCCTCCACGAACGCCCCCAAACGCAGGAGTCCCCGGCCAAGCCACGGAGGCGCATGCGCCGATCCTGAGCTCAAGATGGGCCTGGCCAGAACCAGTGTGTGTGTGTGTGTGCACAGTTCTCGTTCCCCTGGAAGAGAGCCCTTGGTGAGGAGGCAGGGGAGCCGCCCCCACTTGCCCTGGCCTTGAGCTGGAGGTGCTTTTTTGTTTCCTGGCATGCGTGCCGGCTCTCTCCAGTGCAGTGTGCCCGTCAGGGGAGGCGCACCCAGAGTCCGCATATCGCGCCGCCCTCGGAAGAGTGCCCAGAGGGCCAGCGGGCCCAGGGCCCCCCCCCCCTTGCGGGGGAGGGCAGTCCTGGTGGGCGGACGCCTGCTGGGGGGGGGCGGAGCCCCGACGCCATGGTTTCGTTCGTCGTCGCGTCGGCCCCCAGAGGCAGTCGTAGAAGTTGCGTTGCCGGCCGCAGTGATGTGGAATGGCGACAACGACCACGACGACGACCACGACACCGTATCACGTTTTCGCCACATGGCCAACGCACCCCTGACGTGCACGGCTTCTTCTTCTTCTTCGTCTTCTTCTTCCTTTTCTTCTTCGACCCTCAGAGGTCTCGACCGATTCCCCGGCAACGATCTTTCATCCTGAGCCGTTTTTTGTCGGCCCCGAGGCTCGGCAGTGGCCCCCCGAGGCCGAACAAATGGGGACAACATGTCCCGTCATGCCTGTCTCGTGACTCGAGGAGGTCTGGGCCTCCCGTGGGGCGGCGATCCTGTGTGGGCGCGCGCCTGCCGCAAAGGGCGCCCAGCGCGCAGAAGCGGGGGCCCAGCTGGACCTGGGCCCGGGGCTGCCAGGTGGTGCGGCTGGCCCCCCGTCGAGCTTCTCCGATGCGGCTTGGCCCGAGCCCCTGGGGAGTGCTCTGCCCCGGCTGCCCCGCTCGGCGCCGCTGGGGGCTGCAGGGGGCGCCCGTGGAGGAAGGCGCCCGCTGCAACAGAAGGGGCACCCGGATGCGGGCGACCGCGGCGCGGGCGCAGCGCGGCCGCGGCCGCGAGGAGGGGCGTAGGAGAGACAGAGAGAGAGAGAGGAAGGAAAGGCGCCCACTGCAGAAGCCCGGAGGGAGGCCAGAAAGGCGGAGGGAAGAGGCCCCGCCGCAAGAGCCTCCCGTGGCGGAGGAGGAAGAAGAGGAGGGAAGGGCGCTCGCTGCCCACGGCAGGGGGGGAGGCCAGGGAGGCAGGAGGGAGGGCGCCCGCTACCCAAGGCAGGAGGGCGGCAAGGAGGGTAAGACACCTGCTGCCCAATAAGGCAGGAGGGCTGCAAGAAGGGGAAGGTACCCGCTGCAGAAGATAGAAGGGAAGACACCAACTACCACCACAGCCGGGTCATCTCGACGGCCACTCCTGCTGCTCAACCGTTGCCCCCTGGGGGCGCTCGTGAAGGTAGAGGTTCCCAGTGGTCTGTCATGGTTGTGGTACGGGCGGCCCAGCCCTGTCGCCTCAGGCTGGCTTTGGAAAGGCAGGCGCTGCGCTCTCAGAGCTCGACTGCAACAGTGCTGCTACTCCTGCGCATCCTCCCCCGCCCCCCGCCCGGGGAGATGTGGCGATGAACCGAACTCGGCACGCGTGCCCCCCGTGCGCTCCCTCACCTCCCCCCGCCCTCTCCCCTGCCTCTTACCACGACGACCGGCACACCCTGGACCTGGACACCCTCAGCCGCCTCTCGACGGTGGACAAACCTCCCTTTAGTAAACCTCCCTTTAGTGATAACGGCCTAGGACCGACACCGACGGACCTGGACCAACAAAAATAACGGCCGCGACGCCCCCTCGCGAACCGAAAACGGCCGATTCGCTAATCGACGTGTCAGGGTAGGAGGTCTGTCCACCCCCGAGCCTCTCGAAGGCCTGAGCAGGACGAAGAACGTCAACAGCCCGGATTTTTGGTCCTGGCCGGCTCTCTCTCTCTCCGCAATCAAATGCCTCTCACGGATTGACGTTTTCGAACCGTGAGAGGTCTTTGACCTTCAAGGATTCAATCCGTGAGAGAACTTTGACCTCTCACGGATTGAAATTGTCGGTCCGTGAGAGGTTTTCGATTCGTATTGAAGTTCTCCGCATTCAAGGACTTCGGCTCTCGACCCCTTCCGCTGGACTAGGAGTTCATCACGGATCACTGTCTGATTGTCCCGCGGTTCACAAGTTGCCCTCGGTGGTCAGGTATGACAAAGCGACAGACAGGGGATTGGCAGAAAAGGAAGTCAGAAGCCTGAGCACTACAGTCGAGGCTGTGCGTAAGAAGCGCTCAGCCCACGATACCTAGGCCAGTTGTCCTTAGCAAACGCTAGCCCAGGCCCGCGCGGACAGCCTCGTCAATGCGCCAGGGAGCCTGAGAAACTGGGCCAGGGCATCCGCCGAAAAAGCTAAGGACCAAGTGGGCCAGGGAGTCCGCCAGATCCAGAGGCCAATGCCTTGAATTCTGCAACACGCAGGAACGCCTTGGAAGTCATGAGACCCTTTCTGCGTGGGCCGGCTCTTCGTCCAGAGTGGCACTCGTTACGGTCCAGGGGCCCTGGGAGGGCTCGCAGAAACTGAAAACGGCACACAGCGGCGGCGAGCAAGGGGGGGGAAGGGAGAAAGAAGGAGAAGGCCCTCCTCGGAAGGCGGCGGAGCACAGAGGCCCTCTGGCCTTCCGGGAATGTGTCGCGTCTCCGGGAGAGGCTTTCAACGCTTCTCAGACGGCTGGGCGACTTTCTCTAGCCTTCTGAGAAGGCCCGCCCCTTCTCACTCACCCCCACCGTCGCGCCGCCGAACAATACCTAGGGAAGCCTGGGACTTGAAGGTCGCTGGGGGGGCAGCGTTGTTTCCGGGGCCAGATCCTTGTAAGCTCGGCGGGCGCGCTTGATCGGTCAACAGCAATTGTTACAGCCGCCCTTCGCGAGAAGCTCTGATTTCAGGTTTACTCTTGCCGACGATTGGGCTGCTCATGCTGGCTCTTGCCCTACAAAAGCATTGCCCTCTCCCCCGTCGCACCAGAAACACAGATCGCGCTCGCTGCCCCTCAGCGAGCTTCAACCTGGGACTCCAGGTTCTAGTCATAGTCCCTCCCGCGCCTCCCCTCCCCCGTCATGTGGGAAGGCCGCGGCGTGGGCGCCAGCGCGTGACGTGTGCGGGCACTGCTCACAGCGGGCCCTCGGGCCTGCCACGTCTTTGGCAAAATTGTCAGCTCTTGGGGTGCAGCCTTTACTTCCGCCGGCTTCCGCCCGCGGAGTCAACCTCGCTTCCTTCCGCCAGCTTCCGCGGGATTCCGACGTCGTCCGCCGATGGGGTCACACGCTTCTCTCGACCCCTCGAAGGCGAGGCCCCATGTCGAACGCCCCTCATGGGAAGCTCCGGCCCTCTCCCCTTCCTCCTCCACAAGAATAAAAGCGCAGCCTGTTGGCGTCGTCGCTGACGCACGTCACCCACCCGAACGGGGTTGGACATCTGTCCTTCAGCAGCTGCAAGGGCATAACATCCCTACTTGGCTCTGGGTTCATCTCCCGATTCAGCTTGAACTCCTCCTCCTTCAGGTCGGACTTCTCTCTCGGAGTCAGTCCCGCGCCAAAGTCCTCGAGGGCAGAAACTTTCTTCGGATGGACTCAACGACGCCCTTTCGTAGACTCGGCATGCCCATGGCGGATCAATTCCACAGGGCCGGCCCGTGATGCAGTGACAAATCCGAAAGAAGACGACGCCAACAACGCTGTGGCCAAGGAAAGGACAGATGTCCCCGCGATATAATGTTGCTGATTATCTGCGTCCAACTCGCATCATTTTCAATCGCTGGCTCAGTGAGACACCGTGGACAGTCTCGCCAGGGGCTGGTGGTTCTGCTGGTGTCGCTTTTCCTTCCTCGAGGGGGGAGACGGAAGAAGGAGGATCGGAGGAAGGGGAGCATACACACTTCGGGGTTCGATCCTTTCGGCGGGGTAGACGTCAAGTCAACGCGGCAATCAACAGCTGAAACTAACTAGGCTCGCGCGGGCTGGCCCAGACGACAGCTTCCGGCGGCCGCCATTCACGAATACGTGGAAGACCTCTTTGCGCATTTGGGCGCCGCGCAACGACGCTCTTATCGTCGCGCTCTCGCGCCGTCCCTGGAGGGGAAACCTTTCTCTCCAGCCCAGACAGCGACACGCGCGGAGGGGGGCTGTCTTCGCGACCCTGAGAGGGGGGTAATCCACAGCCGAGAATGCGATCAAGAAAATGATTGTTTCAGCAATCTTGGCCAGCTTCCCAAACGTTTTTTTAAACAAACCTGGCCCACCTTCTGGTGTTGACGCCAGAGGGGCGAATGCGCTCAAGAAGAATTGACCAGCTTTCCGGCAAGTTGGCGCAGAAACGCTGGCCCAGCTTTTTGAGAGGAGGCTTCGGAATCAGATGCTCGACTGTCGGCAAACCCTTGCAAACGGACTGCCTCGGTCGGTGGCTAAGGATGCGTGCTCCCTCCCTCCCTCTCCTCGAAGGCCTCCCAGAGCTCCCCATGGAGGGCCAGCAACGCACCCTCAGAGACCAACTGCAAGCGTGAAGGCCATATCAGAAAAGAAAAACGACGAGCGACGGGGACTCAAACGGAATCGCCCGAGTCGCTGGCATCGGGGCCGCCAGCAAGCTCATCCAAGAAGGCCGAATCCGCCCAGGTATGAGGACACGAGGTGGAGGAGACCGCCGCGCACCCAAAACTTCGACCCTCGCTCGGCAGACTTGCCCGCGCGCGCGACGCGAGAGGCGTGGGCCAGGGCGGCCGGGCGCACGGCGGACGAGTCCTTCGCCGGCGGCCTCAGCCCGATCCCTGGCGGCGCCGGCGCGGGTTCCTTCTGCGCCTGCGCCCGCCTCATGAGGTTGAGGATCAGGCTGGATCCGCCTGCGCGGGGACAGTCGGCGGCGCGCTGCAGCGGGGGGGGCGGGACGCGGGGGGCGGCTCGCTCTGAAAGGCCGGGGGGCCGACCTGGAGGGTTCGGGGGCTTCCTGGGAGGCCCTTCGGTAGTCCTCTGGCCCTTCTGAGGGGGCGTCTGCCTTCTTAGTAGGCCGCCTCGCCCCCTTCCCACGTCGCGAGCCGCGGTATGTATGTATGTATGTATGTATGTATGTGTATGTATGTATGTATGTATGTATGTATGTATGTATGTATGTATGTATGTATGTATGTATGTATGTATATGTATGTATCTAACTATATATATATATATATATATGTGTGTATACACCTCTTAAACATGTCTGTTCTAAAGAACCTGGCCTGGGTGTCGGTCAGGCGGCTCCGTGCTCGCCGTCGCCATCCCGTTGCCGCCTCGTCCCCGCCCGTCGTCTGGGCCTGGGTATCGGTCTGGCCGCTCCGTGCTCTATGTCGCCGCCCCGTCGCCGCCTCGTCTTCGCCCGTCGTCTGGGCCTGGGTGTCGATTTCGCAGCTCCGTACTCGCAATCGCCGCCCTGCCGCCGCCCAGAATGCACAACATCAGTTCCGCCACATTGGTTCTCTTTTCTCAAAAAAAAAGAAACTAGTTTCTACCCCCCCTCCTGGATTATCGACACCACTTTCCGCATTGCCATTTACATCCATTTACATCCGATGTTGCCCTATCGTCCATCCTACATATGAATTCGTACCATCCCAGCCCAACGTGCATCGATCCCCCCGTCATATTTTGGAAAAAAAAATTTGTGCACGCGCACCCGTTCATCGCAATTCAAACGTTTTCCGAAATCCTTTGCAACAAATGAGACGACATGCGTACACGGGCGTCGTCGCGCGCGCATGCCGGAATTCTTCAAAGACCTGGAGTTGCGTAAGGGTATCCAAAAATCCCATGAACAAATGATTTCGCAACGCGTTTTTGTTATGCACATATATAGACACATATATTTATATGTATATATATGCATATATGCAAATGTGTACATAACAAGAAAACAGCGCGCACGTTCTGTCGAATTCTTAAAACGAGGCGCCATCAGTTTTTTTATACACAACATATGTTACCAAACGGGTTTCGCGAGCGCATGTCTGAATCGCTCGAACGGCTTTGCGCGCGTGTCGTCGCGAAAACCCTTCTGCAAAACATGGAACGAAGCGCGCGCGAGCGCGTCGTCGCGCGCGCGTGCCAAAATCAGTCAAAAAGCGATGGTTTCGTAGCGATATCAAAACCGAATGTCCAAAACAGCATGAAACACACATGGTTTCGCAACATCCGTGTTTTTTTACAACCAAAAAAAACAGCGCCTGCGTTCTTCCGCATTCTTCAGAAAACCATAGGTTGTTCAACAATTTCATGGAATTCTACAAAACGGGCGTTTGACGCCGCATGCCGACATTATTCCCACGCCCTTGCGCGCGTGCTGTGGGGCACGATCCGTCTCAAATAATAACGTGCGGTCCTTTGTCGCGCGCCGGTCGCACGCCCATGTCGAACTTTTTCAAAAACGTTCATCGCCGACGCGAGGACGCCGTCATCGTCGCCGGCGTGATCGGCATTGGCGCCCGCACTGACCGCGCTTTCGTCGGTGTCAACATCGCCACCAGCATCGCTACTATCATCATCGTGTTTACCGTTATCGGCGCTGCCATGATACAACGCCCACCCACAAGTCGCCGACTCGCAGTGACGTGCCCGCTGGGATGCGCCTAACGGTCAGAGCCACCGCGGCCGCGTCGGTGGCGCCAAGCAAGCTGACCGCTGCGTGCGCATGCTAGGGTTGGCGCGGCCGCAGAGATGCACCAGCAACGCCAAGCATGCATCGCAATCGCCACCGCATGAATTTTGCAAACCACATTGCGAGTGGGTGGGTGGGACGTTCGCAAGTGCATGGGAGGTGCCAGCTCGTTTGTTTAAATCAACTCTTCACATAGATTGCACCACATAGACCGCGCAAATATCTTACACAACGTACGTTGCACCACGCAGCACCACGTCGATTGCGCCACTTATATTGCCCACACAGAGATTGCACAACATGTTCTGCGCATCATAAGTTGCACAACGTATATTGCCCCGCAGAGGTGGCCCCGCGCATTGCTCCACGTAGATCACGCAACGTAGAATACATAGCATCGATTGCATAGCATCACTTCCAACAAATATAATGCGCCACGTAGATCGCACCACATAGATAGCTCCACATGTATTGCACAGCCTGGATTGCTAGACGCACGCCGTTCGGGGCCCACCCTGGCGATCACACACACACACACACATATATATATATATACACTCGCAAACATACACACATACATACATAACTACATACACATCTTCTCCTTCTTCTCACCCCCATCGAAAACAATTGAGCACAAATGTGCAGGCGGAGACGGAATCTCGGGGCCTCGTGCTCACTGGGACGGGCGCGGCACTGCAATTCGGCGCTCGCATCGCCGGGGCAGCTTAGCATAGACCTCAGCACCTCGAGATGCCGAGAACAGGACTCAGTCGCGCCAGCAACTGTGGAAGGCATGCTGGGCCACGCCCACACGCGCCCACGCGGGGCAGGCCAGACGGACTTGCGTTCGCGACAAGTGGGAGCGGATTCAGCCGAAGACAAGTGGACACGACACAGGCCTGGAGCCTACCAGATGCCGTGCATTCACGCCTGGAGAGAGATGCACATCACGTATTACTGACGTAGCAGTCGGCCCACAGCCAAAGCATCAGTCAAAGGGAGATGCACGACAAGTATTACATTGACACAGCAGTCGCCCCACAGCCATTGCATCAGTCAAAGCAACTCCCCAGACCTAACCCGCGCTCGTCTGGACCATCATCGGCTTCTTCTTGGCTCCGAGCTTCGTCGCCAGCCCCCCCCCCGGGGGCTCTGCCCGGCATGGGGGTGACAGGATGGAAAACAACGCCGCGCGGCGCTCCACCACCTTGCAACCCTGCCCGGGCGCCAGACGCTCAAAGGGGGTCCTCTGGATGCCTGCCATCGCCTCTGCCACCTCCCCCCCGCCCTCCTTTCTGCCGACCGCGCCCCAGAGCTCGACCTGCTGATTTACCAGGGGCTTCGCCTGCTCTGGAGTTCTGGGGGCGATCGCGGTTCCCTTCGCGTTGACAGTCACGCGGTGCACCTCGCCGTCGTGCGCCAGGCTGACCGCGCAGTACTTGATCCGCGCCCCTGCGGCCCCCATGTCACTGTTGCGCAACGTGAGCAGCGGCAGCGTGGGGGCGTGGCGCAGATTGATCACCGACTTCTGCTGAGACGACTCCGCGCCGCACCATCCCTCTAAACCGCTCAGAACCCCTCCAAAGCGGCGCTGCTCGGGAGGTCCCCGTTGGCGCGTGCTGCCCTCCGCCATCGCCGTCTCTGGGTGCGCCATGTGCGCTCGAACGCCTGTCTGCGCCACCTCCTCGCCATTGTCGCCGTGCACCACTAGTGCCGCCGAATGCTCCAGGGCCCGAACTCGCGCCTCGAGCTGCCTGACAAGCTTCAGTTGGATGAGATCGCTGGCCTCCTGAACCTTGCTCTTCGCGAGGCGAGCGTGGCCCAACTGCATCTGCTCGGCGTCCTGCCCCTCCACCCTGCCGACGGATGGCGCGAGCCGCGACATGCGGGGCCGGCTGTGCCATGCGATGCTGATGGTACTGGTCACTTAAAGTGCATTGAGAATGTGGCCGCGGACCGCGTTTCGAATACACATAGAAACGCCCCCATCGTTACCGAGACTCTTGGTCGCGCGATACATCGCACTGCACTCAGTCGCCACGCAGCCTTACAAAACAAACGCTGGTTGACAATACAATATGGTCGCCCCAGTAGTCTTCGTCCGCGAGTACCTCCTTTGCGCCTTGCATAAAAAACGGCGAATCGTTGGTGCGTCGGGGAGAGCGCGCCGCGCCCCTCGCCATCCAGCGCTGTGCACATAGGGGCCCCCCTTGTTCAACCTGCCTTGCATGCTGGATGTGCTCGCTGAGCTCTAAGATCGCTGCGCCACCGTCGAAGACCTGCAACGCCCGGATATCCCCATGAAATTGCTCGGCCCACGGGTTCACCGCCAAGCCAGTTGCGGCCCGCCGAAAGCACGGGCTCCTGATCCACGAGCCCCCCGAACACAACTCCAAGAAACTGGGCCGACCGACCAGGGCGCCGAAGGCACTGCTGCAACCACTTCAGCCTGCGAGCTCTAAGCTCGACATGAGTTGGGACTAGAACCGCGGCGTGCAACTCTCGCACATTGCACTCCGCCCCCCACTTGCCATCTCTCAAAACAGCCGCGCCCTTTAACGAGACGCGCGAGTATTTAGCCAGCGCGGAACCGCTCGGCGCCCAGCCGGCATGGCGAGATAGCGATGGGCCTGTAGATAAACACTAGGCACTCAGCTCCTGACAGACGCGCGTTAACAGCGCATCCCCTCAGAAGGTTACACCCCCATTTTAAGGAAATGCCAGACGTCCACGCGCGACCCGCAGGGAGGCATGCAGCGCGACCCGCGCGGGGTCTAAACTGGATTGCGCGCGGCGTGAAACGAGAGCGCAACCGCGGGCCCAGGTGCCGAGCTTGCGGTGCGGTTTTCCCCTGGGGACGCCGCTGCTTCAGACGGGCCGCCTCGACGCCGCGGGGCCCCTAGCCCTGCGTAGAAGAAAGAAGAAGACTCATCTCCCGCTCATTGCTATGAATCATCCCCACGCGCGTCATCCGAGCATCCAGGGCTCTATTCTGCCGAGCCCCAAGCATCAGGATCGGCGAGGCGTCGCGCTGCACGGCGAAAATAGCCGCAACGTCGTCCGCGAAGATGCCGAGAGTTTGCGCGCGATTGTTAGACCGCGGACATCTAACGTGGCGCGCCTGCACGCTGCGCGCAACTCGGGGCCCATAACGGCGCGTCTTAGCGCGCGCATGACAACGCGCACGCAACGGGGGGGATATCCTGGCAT